CATCGCACTGCGGCGCGCGCGCGCATACACATTCCCTACGGGGCTATAACATAAAACTAACTTTTAACTAACTGCAGTGTTCTCCGGGCTGTAACTACGAGCGTATATACCTTTGTTCCGCCTTCGACCGTCTTCTACCGTAAACAACCCGTATAAGTGTTATACAGAGTGATATAATATTAGATGTATATGATAATATATTCTATTAATATTTCTCACTCCTTGGTGTTATGTAAAGGTTTTACTATCTTGACAAATGTGATTTAGAACTAGTTGGCAACTTATAATTGTGTTGCAGCGGACATTTGTATCTTTCAGTAGTTGCACGCACGATCGCACCTCGCTCGCTCTCCACATGTATTCGCAGTACGTCCTATATATTTTTGCCGAAATCGCAAGCTTCTTCCTAAAAGCCATATTGTAAACGTATGCGTACCTGCGCTCGCTATGATTACTTGCTTGATGTCTGGACCATGCTCCCACAGGACCTCTGGGCGACAGATGTCAGTGTTACAAACTGAAAATAAATCTGAACGCAAAAACACAAATACTACCCCTCCAATTACACTTCACTGTGTGTCATTATATACAGCCGCTCCGCACTCGCCGCTGCGTGTTGTGCTGTGTCGCCTATGTATATATCGGCCATAGATATGGCGGACACAGCCAGCACACGCGCGGCGAGTGCCCGGGAGTGTGCTAGCCTTTCTGCATTATTTTGTGAAAGGCAGTGATATACAAGACCTCATCTATTTATTCAGTTTTCCACTCTGACCTGTCCTAAAGTGGCCTGTGGCAATCAGCATGAAGCGAGGTATATTTAAGTAATCTTTTTGGGAAAAACCCATATAAAAGTTGCAATATTACATCGTTTACAGCTGCACATTTGCCTTCTATATATATAGCAGTTGTGGGCTTAGCCAAATTAGCGAGCGTACTCGCATAACTAGAGAACTCTTAAAAATTTTAAAAAAATGTAAGAGGTTAAACTTCATAAAATTCTATTCATCAATAGATGGCGGCTGTGCGTATACATTAACATCACGATATCGTGTTGCAGCCATGGTATACCTTAACTGTGCCAGTGGCCTATCGCTGCGGACATCCGTCTCCTACTCACCGGGATTCCGGGTCTCGCAAGTCCAGCGTGGGAACTCTATTCTCCTTTTTTTCCTTTTTCCTCCTTACCTACCTCTTTAGTTGTATCTTTTTTATTTTTTTATTTTTAATTTTGATATTTTTTTTTATTTTAATGTCTTTTTATTTTTTGATTTCTTATTATTTTTTACTGTTGGGATGGATGGGATGGCATGAATGCGCATGCCAGGGGCCTGGCATGGGACCTGCATGGCATGGCATGGCCATGGCATGTGGATGGCAGCGGATTGGCATGGCCATGCATGGGATGGGTGGCATGGCCCCCCCCCCCCCCCCCCATTGGCATGGCATGGCCATGCATGGCATCGGATAGCAATGCGGGCTATGGGAAGCGGTGCGAATGGATGGCCAATGGCATGGCATGGCATGTTATGCGAATGGCATGGGTGGCAGTGGATGGCGATGAGATGGCCAATGGATGGGCATGGGATGCGCGGATATGGAATGGATGGATGGAATGCGTGCGATGGGATGGAATGGATGGCATGGCATGGGATCATGGATGGGATGCATGTGGATGGATCATGGATAAGATAGATCTATAGCATAGTTAGATTTTTTGGCGGTTTTCCCTTTCAACAAGCGGTCACCAACTGGTAACGCCACTGATTTCCGCGGCACGCCGGGTATATTCCCGCTAGTGCTATATAAGTTTGTTGCCACCGTTGAACGCTGTGGCTGCGGTTGTGTCACTCTGTCGTACAATTGAGCGTTCAATTCTTATCGGGCCAAATTTATGTCGCCATTATCAACCTCTACTCTTCAATGATTGTATAGCCATCTTTCACGTCGGCACACTATATGTCTAATTATGGTCGAGCGTGAGGTTTTTTGGAAACAAGCTGAGACCGAATGCAAGAAGTTTGGTCATTCTCAGACAATTAGTTCCTTATCTCTAAAATTCACCTCATTTGCTAAAACGCCTGGCATCGATAATATCAGAATTTAGATACATTAGGGAACTATTAATCTACTTTCCCTATTATTTCTACTTCTGATAATATGGCTGTCAAAACTCTACGTCAAATGTGTCGGTCGCCGAGACCGTGGAGATTATTAACGTATTGAGGTATTCCCGAAACACCAAAATTACTAAACTACAGAGATAAAATAAGCAAATGCGAGAACATGCTGTTCCCCGTTACAAAATTAATATATTAAACTTTACAGTGACGCCTTTCGCTTTAATGACAACGTAAAGACTCATGTATTATATCAGTGAAACAATTAGGCCCAGTGATCGACGTCTAAAGTAATTCGCTGTTATGGACGGCAATACTCACAGGGAAACGACATTGTACCGTGGCCAAACACTGTTCGTATATGTTGCTCACATATTTATTCACTAACAAAATCTCACGACAACTAGCGTCTATAAACTAAGTGCTTATCGGTGTAATATCTTCTACAATGTCCGCCCATATTAATGATCACGCACCGCGAAACTCACCGTTACGCTCTCAGGAATATGGTGTTAAGTGATTGCGCATTCCATTGCGTTAAACATTACATACAATGCCGTCGTAATTCATGGCAACACATAATAACTTAACGCTTGTGCTTACAATTGTTCTTATACATCATTTTATGCGTTACAATAACTGTTTTGCTCTAATAGCTTTATATTGCCCTCACTATGCTTTCCTCTCCCGTGTGTCCGGTTGAAATGGCTGCTAACCTCAGAGGACGTCCTGACCAACAAAAAGTTCGTCTGACGGCTGACCGAAATTGCCTTGTACTTGTAGGAAGTAAATTATCGGATTAATGAGTGAATTCAGGTGCAGGGCAATTAGCGTCGAATGAACCCGTAGTGTGTGAAGCCCGACGCGGAGCTGTAGATCAGGACATGTGGCAGAACGTGCGGAGCAAGTAGAATGCACGAGTGCCGGACAACCCATAAGCATGCATCTTTGACGTTTTCCATGTCGCGTTGGAAACCTGTCGTGCACTCTCTACGCGCACTGACGCCTGCGGCGATCCTTCGGGGCGAATGGATCCCTGGCCGATCTCTGACGATGGGCGTATGTAGCAGCTACATCATGACGAAAATAAAATCGCATACGTGGCCTAGCGATAAAATACACGGAATCTGCGCCACTATCATGTCACCGACGCACGCAATGGACGGATTCCAGTAATACGTTCCTTGGAGGTCGACGCAGCCACCGCACGAGCCTATCGCGACACAGCAACAACGCCATGAGATGCGATGAGATGGCATGGGATGGGATGCGGTGCTATGGGATGCGGTGCAATAGGATGGCATGGCATGGCATGTCATGGCATGGCATGGGATAGCATGAGATGCGATGAGATGGCATGGGATGGGATGGGATGGAATATGGGATGGGATGGGATGGAATACGGTGCGATGGGATGGGATGGCATGGCATGGAATGGGATAGATGGATGGATGCAGCGATGGATGCATGGATAGATAGATAGATAGTTAGATTTTTTGGGGTATTTTCCTTTCAACCAAGCGGTCACCAACTGAGTAACGCCACTGCTTTCCCCGGGCAACGCCGGGTATATCCCGCTAGTGCTATATATTTGTTGCCACCGTTAAACGCTGTGCTGCGTTGTGTCACTCTGTCGTAGTGACGTCAATTCTCATCGGCAAATTTATGTCGCCACTATCAACTCTACTTCGTCAATGATTGTATAGCCATCTTTCACGTGGCACTATATGTCTAATTATGTCCGGGCAGGAGGTTTTTCGGAAACAGCTAAGACCGAATGCGGAAGTTTGGCCTTCTCAGACAATTAGTTCTTATCTCTAAAATTTCCTCCATTCCTGAAAAGCCTGGATCGATAATATCAGAAGTAGATAATAGGGAACTATTATCTACTCCTGATAATATGCGTCAAAACTCTAACGGTAAATGTGTCGTGCCGAGACGTGGAGATTATTCACGTATGAGGTTATTCCCCGAAACCACAAAATTTACTAAACGTACAGAGATAAAATAGCAAATGCGAGAAATGCTGTTCCCCCGATTACCAAAATTAATAATTAAACTTTACAGTGACTCCTTCGTTCAATGACAAAGTAAAGACTCATGTATATATCAGTGAAACAATTAGGCCAGTGTGACGTCCAAAGTAACTCGCTGTATAGAGGCAATACTACAGGGAAAGACATTGTACTTAGCAAAACACGTTCCGTATATGTTGCTCACAGATTTATTTACCAACAAAATCTCACAACAACTAGCGTTATAACTAAGTGCTATCGGTGTAATATCTTCTACAATGACGTCATATAATGACACGCACCCGCGAGACTCAAATACGCTCTCAGAATGGTGTATAATGATTGCGCATCCCATTGCGTTAAACATTACATACAATGCTCGTAATTCATGCAACACATATATACTTGACGCTTGTGTACAATTTTTTTTACATCATTATTATGGTACAATAACTGTTTCTCTAATAGCTTGATTGCTTCGCTATTCTTCCTGCTCCGTGTCCGGTTGAAATGATGTAACCTCAGAGGACGTCCTACAACCGAAAAGTTCTCTGACGGCTGACCGAAATTCCTTGTACTTGTAGAAGTAAATTATCGGATTAATCAGTGAATTCAGTAGCAGGGCATTAGTTCGAATAACCCGTAGTGTTTGAAGCCCCGACGGGAAGCTGTAGATCAGGACCATGTGGAGAACGTGCGGAGCAAGAAGAGTCCACGAGGAGCCGACAACCATGAGCATGATCTTTGACGTCTTCCATGTCGCGTGGAAACTTGTCGTGCACTCTCTACCCGCCACTGACGCTGCGGCGATCCTTCGCGCATGGTCCCTGGCGATCTTGACGATGGAGATGTAGCAGTACATCATGACGACAAATAAAATCGCGTAGTGGCTAGCGATAAAATACACGAATCCTGGCGCCACTATCAGTTCACCGACGCACGCAGTGGACGGATTCCAGTAATACGTTGCTTGGATGGTCGACGCAGCACCGCAGCCTATCGCGTACAGCAAACACGCGACGATGAGAACACGGGTGCGTTCGGTTGTCATCCACTGGCTGTAGCGTAGCGGGTGCGCGATCGCCACGTACCTGTTTGTCGTGCAGAGCGCAATTGCTTCCATCGACGCTACAAGGATTGTGGCTACGTACCCCACGAACACTGCGCACTGCGGCATCGTGTGACGAGGTACGAATGCCGACAATAACGAACAGCCTATCACAAAGTCGCAGCAGGCCAGATTGAGGATCGTGAGGTTTGCTGCTGTTCGCAGTCGGCGAATCCTCGCTATGATGACGATCACGAGACCGTTGCCGACTGTCGTGACGATCGAACTCAACACGAAGAATGCCACTATTACTGCTATAGCGTAAGTTTTCGTATTTGAAAAGAACACGCGGCTAACTTGGTTGTTTTCTTCGTTGACGCTGCTGTTGCTCATGTTTGACGTCAGTAGTCCACTCATGTTGTTCTAAGACGTGATACGTTGCACTGTATGCAGATTTTCGTTTCGTATCGTCGTAACTCTCAGGATCATTAAAACTGTCATGAAAAATATAGGTTCGATCTCTGCGAGACTGATTTCTAAAGCCCCAAATTTTCCTGGTTTCTTCACCCACACACATAATATAGTATGCACATACGCACGCCCGCCCCCACTTAATATATATGCCTATTATATATACTAGCAGAAAGTATACCCGTAGAACCAGCAAATGTTGTCTTTAAATATATGAGACAAATAAAATGCGGCGATATGTGGCTATGCGATAAAAAACACGATCCTGGCGGCCACTATCATTCATCGACGCACGCAAGTGGACGGATTTCAGTATACGTTCTGTGATGGTGCGCGACGCAGCAGCCGCAGCCTATCGTCGTTACAGCAAACACGTCGGACGATGACGAACACGGGTGCGTTCGTGTGTCATCCACTGGTCTGTAGCAGTTATAGCGGGTCGCGCGTATCGCGCACGTACCTTGTTTGGTCGTGCAGAGGCGCAATTGTCCCATCGACGTACAAGGTTGTGGCTACGGTACCCACGAACACATGCGCACTGCGGCATCGTGTGACGAGGTATAACGAATGCGTACAATAGACGAACAGCCTATCACAAAGCGCAGCAGGCCAGATGAGGATTCGTGAGGTTTGTGCTGTTCCCATCGGCGAATCCTCGCTATTGATGACGAACGAAGACCGTTGCCGACTGTCGTGGACGGATCGAACTCAAACACGAGAATGCCACTATTAGCTGGCTATAGCGTAAGTTTTTCGTATTTGAAAAGAACACGCGGCTAACTTGGTTGTTTTTCTTCTGTTGAGCCGCTGCTGAGTTGCTTCCATGTATGGACGTCAGTTAGTCCACTCATGTTGTTCTAAGTACACGTGATACGTGTCACTGTTATGGCAGATCTTTTCGTTTCGTATCGTCGCTAACTTCTCAGGATCATTAAAACTGTCATGAAAAAATAGGTTTAATCTCTGGAGACTGAATTTAAAGCCCAAATTTTCCTGATTTTCTTCAACTCAGCGACACATAGTATATAGTATCACATACGCACCGCCGGCCCCCACTTTACATATATATGATATTATATATATATATATATATTATATATATATATATATTTAATATATATATTATATATAATATATATGTCTACGGGGATATATATAGGCGATGTTTATGTTTATAAACATTTCGACGTCATATGCGCACGATGCGCAGTTGTAACGGTTGGCCAGCCAAGCAGATTAGCGTGATATTGTTGGGTTGGCGATACAAGCGCACGCAACGCGACAGCGACGACGTGTACGTTTACACACGCACGCACGCACCACGCACGTGTACGTGCATCACGCACGCACGCACGCGACGTGTACTGCACACACACGCAGTACGCAACGCCACGCACATGGCACACACGTGCTAGCCTGCACACGACACACACCCGCCGGCACGCGCGTACATTGTACGTGCCACACACGGACACACGCAAGCGCATGCACGCACGTGTAAGTTCACACGTACACGCACGCACGCGACTGTTACTGGTGCACACGGCACAGCACACACTCCTTGCCACGGCACGTGTATAGCGTGCACAGCGACGCACGCAACGTAGCATGCACGCACGTTGTACGTGCACACGCAGCGCGCACGCAACGCAAGTCGTACGTGCACATGCCACGCGCGGCAACAACAACGCTACGCACGCACGTGTACGCGCAGACCACACACGGACGAAACCGCACGCACGCGACGCACGAACGCACGCACGCACACACTCATGACACTCACGTGTGAACGTGCACACGCACGCACCGCACGCATGGCCACCGGCCCACTGTGTACGTGCACACGCACGCACGGCACGACGTGTACTGCAGCAGGCGCGCACGCACGACGCACGTGTACGTGCACACTGCCACGCAGGCACCACGCCACGAACGTGTACCTGCACACGCCGCGCACACACGCAGCGCACGCACGCACGGCACGCAGCACGTTTACGGTGCACAGCACGCCAGGCCGCAGCGCGCAGTGTGCGTGACACGCGCATGACACGCTGTACTTACACACGCATCGCACGCAACGCACGCATGCACGCACGTATACGTTGCACACGCACGCACTTCACGCATGCACGCACGTGTAGCGTGCACACGCACGCACACACGCATGCCGCACGTGTACGTGGCACGACGCACGCCACGCACGCACGTCTACATCCAAGACGGCCCGCACGCACGGCGGCGCATTACACACGACCCGTGTACCTGCACACGCACGCACGTACGCACGCACGCATGCAGCGCATGCGTGTACGTGCACACGCACGGCACTCACGTGACTCACCCGCACCACGACTCACGCATGACGCGGACTACACGCGACGCACGCATCTGCAACACGATCACGCAGGCATGGCACTGTACGTTGCACACCAGCCGACACACGCACGCGTGCGAGCGTGTAGGTGCACACGCAACGCACGCCGCATGTACGCACGTGTAGGCTGCAGCGACGCACGCACGCACACAGGCGAACGCACGTGTACGTACAACACGCCACGCACGCAACGCCACGGCACGTGTACTTCAACTCGCACGCAGCGCACGTACGCGCGCACGTGTTACGTGCACAAGCACACATGCACACATTCGTGTACGCACGCACGCAGTATTACGTACAACCCACACACGCAACGCACACACGCACGCACGCACCGCACGCACGCTGCAAGCACGTTTACATACACACGCACGTCACGCATGCATGCCACGAGGTGTCGTGCACACACGCACGACAACGCACGCACGCACGTCTACGTTCAAATGCATGCACGCCGTTCCGCACGTCTACCTGTACACACTACGCACGTACGCACCAACACACTCATGCACACAACGTGTACCTGCCACCGAACGCAGCGGACCCACACACGCAATGCACGTCAGCACGCACACGATGCACATGCAACGCATGTCTGCACACGCACGTGCTCCGTGACGCGTAGACAGCGCACGCACAGCACGTGTACGTGCACACGAAAGTAGCGGAACGTGTACTTGCCACGCAACGCACGGCACGCACCGTTGTAAGTTCACACGCACGCACGACACGCACGGACGTGTACGCTGCGCAACACGCACGCACGCACGTGTATGTGCACACGCGACGGCACGCCAGCAGGCAACGCAGTGCTAGTGCACTACATAAACAGCGCTTTCTATCAGAACAGTGGTCAATCAGCTGTAAATGTCAACAGCACGCTTCGCTTCTGCCAACCATGACACATAACAAATACACGTGGACCTGATCTATGAGCGTCAGCGATTGAAACACTCCTATATTATATTATACATTATATATATATATATCAAGAATAATAATTATAATAAACTACCAATAAGATTGTTAACGTTGTCGGCGAGACGTTCTGAATTGAATTAAACGAATATACACGTGGCTACTGAAGTTCGCTGATCAACTTACCATGTGAGCCACAGGCTATTAACTAGCAAACCTTGGCCGTTATAATGAGTTCTGATCGTTTGCGCGAGCTGCATCGGCTTCTCGCTATTATACATGCCGATGCCTCGATAACATAACCGGATGACCAAGTCATGCACTGTCGTGTTGGCTTTGGGACACACAAAGAAACACGGGGCGCTGTAATGCTTTTTTGCAACCCTATACTAAGTACATCCAAGCGTCATGTTTCGCAACTGAAAGCACTCAAAGAAAGACTGAACCAACCATGTGGAAGTTCTGCGTTGTCATGGCTAGGCGATGTCCTAGTGACTCTGGCTACAACCTCGTATTAACGATAAAAACTATACATGATAAATAATACACTATAGATTTAATTGCATTACCGTTTAAGATGAATGTAGGATGGGTATTTTCACGCACAAGTATATTACTGACCATAATAATTCGACAGGTGAAAAATATCAAATATTATTTCGTATACGGTAGCCCCATGTTTCTTGCTTGCGTACGCTGATTGGCAGTGTCATATGTTTTTTTTTGACAATATGGGCCTGCGGTAATTTTGAACGTTTATTAAACATCAGTTTGTTTTTGGCTTGGCCTTACCTGTGTTGTTGCACATGCGATTTGGCGTGTATGCGTTTTTCATATATGCGCCCACGGTAATTTGAAGGCAATGGAAACTCGCGTGAAATGTAGGATAACGTGGCCCATATGTTTTTTGTTTGGCGTACGCCGTGATTGCGTGTATGTGTTTTTTCCCCATATGGGCCACAGTAATTTTTAAGGCAGTTTTGTTTTTGCTGGCGTACCGGTGCTTGCGTTATCTGTTAGCGTGTAGGCGTGTATAATATGTGTTTTCCAATATTATACATGGGCCACGAAAACTTTGAAGCAATTGCAATTACAGAAGCTGCAAACGCAAAAAACCATACCATAATTACCAATTTTGCCATTATGCCAACATTACCGAATTGCAATTATACCATAAATGGCAGACACAATGTACATGTGCGTTCGTGTGAGCGCGTGCGTGCGTCGCATGACAGAACAATACTATCCATCATTAAAAATATAGCGTGGAGTGATCCACACTATAGGCAATAGTTTTAGGCTAAAGAAATTGTTTACGCCGACGGAATTTCATATAACACAAAAACCACGACGCGCGCAATGTCTTCAATGTTTGTGTACATTACAGCTAATTCCACGAAACGTTTTATTATTATAATACCGCAGAGCGAGTTAGAACTACTGACACATACCAGCTTCAGATAAGTAAAGTTGGCCACTTTATTTGTTAGATACGTGAGAATAACAGCGAGCAAATGCATCCTGTGGCAATAACTCAACCAATACAACAAGGCAAGGATATCACATACATATTTGTGACATAATCTGCAGTTAACCAATGCGATATATCATCATTAAATTAATTAATGATAGAATACGCTATACATTCATG